GAAAAAATCAGAGCAAACTATAGTATAGCGTAGGAATTGTACCTGAATGATCCTTGTAAAGGTTGCAAAGAAAGAAAATTAACATGAGTAGTGTTATAGTATCAGAGACAATAGACAAGGACAATTCCTCTTTATGTATGAATTAAAATCTAGCAAATTTGACCATAAAACATAGTCATGGTAATATACCACCCCAGCAGGCATCAATGAAAGCAATTGTGCCCTGCTGGTCTGGCAACCGAAAAGCTTCCTATAGTAATCATCTTCGTGAAGATGAAATCTCCTTCGTAAGAGACTAATTTTTCCAAATAAGCCTGCTATTACAAACTACCATATCCTTCACCCATCCATACTTCATATACCTGAAGGAAAAAATTAATTATAAATATTAAAAAAAGGCGCAGAAAGATTAAAATGGCCAAATGTTAAGAAGTTGAAATATTGGCTGTGCTCACTATGCCTACTCACTCACAAGGAATACCAGCTATGCTCACCATGCCTAGGCTGCTGACAGAAAGTTGTCCTCCACAAAAACTTGCAAATTCTTTAACTTAAAAAACCAACAGCGTCTTTATCAAATTTGAGAAGAAATGCTAACATGATCAGCTCAGAAAGTGAATTTATGTGATCTTCTTTCTCCCAAAGAACTCCCTTGGCTATTTCTTCAAAGAAATATGAAGCATATTAAAAAAGAACCTTTTGATTGGTAGTTTTGTAAATCTTCAAAATGTGAAGCTTTGGTCTCTCCTTGTCCCAACATATCATTTGGCTAAACAACATTTGCAGAAATTCTAGCAAAACTTTAAACTTGTTTAAGGATCCTACTAAAATTGAAAGAAAAGAAAAAAGAAAAAGAGGCAAAAACATATTAATATATAATGAATGAAAAAAAAAATCCCAAGAGCCAACTTGCTGTAAAATTCGAATACAATGATAAAAAATTATTCATTAACATTTGATGAACAATGGGAAGTCATGCTAAGAAGTGCCAAACACAGAAGCAATATTTATGTTTCTACTTATTTCAATTTCCTCTTGTAGCTAGCTGAGGTTCAAATTCAGTAATTGTGGCTCCAAAAATTGAAAAGACTAAATTAGATGAATCAAAAGGAAATCAATTTCATACCAGTTCTAAATTGCCAACATCTAGAATCTTTCTCATTATAAACTTCTTACTTATATGGCTTCTATAACCATATATACTTTTTTTAACCTCCTTAGCAGCACCTTTCTAGTTCCTAACATCAACCTATTAGTTCCATGCATATAAGCCCTAAAGTTAAAAACTATGAAATATTATAAATGTGACAAAGGGTTACAAATTTATAATTAAAAACTTGACCTGAGACAATAGGGGTGTTTCTCTCAAAAATATAATAGTTCCTATGACTGTAGACAATAAAAAGCTGAATATCTTTTCTCTAGAAAGCAAAAAATGTAAAGACCAACCTGTAGACGTTATTGAGGCAAAATAAAACCTCAAAATTTAGAGGTCTATTAGACTTTTAAGAGGCAGGACCACATTGATTTTACATTAGTAACATTAGTAAATAATCAAAAAAACTGCATAACCGTATAAACAAATAAAACTTGGTAGGTTTTCTTTGCACAATGTAAAGTAAAATTTAGTTATTTATTCCTTTATCATGGATAAAGAGTTGTCCACTTAGGTAATAATAATGAAAATTATGCCAAAAAATTCTTAAAAAATAAGTAAGCCATGAAATTAGACGTAAAATTGATGTAATAAATGATAGACATTAAGTAGGATTAAGAACTCATATCACAAAAAATACACTAATGTACCAACCACCACATAATCTCTTAAATTGCTAAAAATGGTACTTCCAATTCTTGAGATATCTCTTGATCATTTATTTCAAACTTCATTTGTCCTGGATCATGACATATACATGATAAGCACCAAGCAACAAAGTAAGAACTACAACACACCATAGATAACATTCCTGACCTTCCATGGGATTCCATTGATAAGAACAAAGGAAGGAAAAAGGATCAGCAATCTAATCGAGAGGACTTGATATATTGAGTTAATCATGAGATAAGATTCAGTACTTATATGGTTGTGGTCATTGAGTTGGAACTGGTAATATTAGTTTAGAACTAAGTGCAATAATTAAATTAGTTAAAGAGTGAATTGATAATTTTGGCCACATCCTAATATTGATCTACAATGCAACCCACTAACTATACATGCATGCAGCACGCTAAATGGCTTACTGTTGCAGCTGAACTCCTAGGCTCTTTTCTTTGATTCCAAAGTTTGAACCATTGCTACCAATTCAATATAATCTTGTTAAACTTTGATTCTGCCAACCTCTGGAATCTCTATATATCATCATATCCATAAGAAAACTCAAAGCTTCATAACCTTCATCTCCCTCCATCTCCTTAATAATAAGTT